TGTAATAAATCACAAGCGTTGTAAATAAGGCGAATGGTTCGGACAGAAAACAGAATTAATTAAAGGTTAAATATCCCCAAAGCGCTTAGACTGCAATTAACAGTTATATCACAGATAAATTTTTGCTCTGTCGACAACAACTAAATCTCGAAGGAAGCCGTAAGGAGACTGATTGGCTGTAAAAAAGAGAAAAAATCTCCGGCGGATTTAATATAAGGTTTCGGTCAAACATTTTGAAAGAATAAAATTGCATTAAATCCTACAAAATCTTGCTTGATTGAGCTTTCATCTACGTTTTATTGTTTTTTAGTTAGAACATAATTTTCTTTGTAACTAATGTAGAGGTGTTCACCGCTGGTTAATGGTCTGATATAGTGTAAAGGTTCGACATCCTGCAAAGTCCTCCTGATATTTCGAAGACGCTACTTCACGTATTCAAATATGATTTATTCATTAATACGAATCTATTATGTACGATTTTTCATATTATTAAAGATCAATTTTCTGGGTTTTTTTTTTTTTTTGAGGAGTGGGGTGTGTGTGTTGTGTTTAGGCACATGCTTGTTAGAAACAGCCATCTCGGCTAGATCAACCTGCCTTAGTGTAAGTACACCAAACAATGACTAGCATAATGTAAGAACCCTATATCAGACCATTGCGATGAGTCTTAACACCTACCTAAGTCATTTGAGCGTTTGATTCAAAGTTTTTTTTAAATGAACTCCTAACTGCCACCAAGACAAAGATTTAAAAAAAAAAAAAAAACATTATGTTTCATTATTTGTCCGCATCACCTGCAAAACATCTGTTTCCTGCTTCACGTATGCGACCAATATCTATTCCACATCACCAGCACATTCTTCATTTTCTCCACTTGGTCTTTAAATACAAAGGTTCTGAATAAGAAATATTTAGCTGTGTTTTAACATTAGAGGCCTTCTTCCAGCATATCCATGAAGAGACAATATATTTCTCACTCAAATAGCACCGAGCGACTCGGCAACAAAAATCTAGGAAGTATTTTGTGTAAAAAAAACTCCAATGATTTTCGAAAAGGAAATTCGACATCACTTCCGGTTGCCATGCAGTTGCAGTTCCGGTATTCAAAACGCTGATTCGCAAAAGACTCTCTTACTTATTATATATCTATCCGTTTACATCAAACAGATCACACGTCTGATTGTCAACAAGTAACCACTGGGCTGCTTAACAAGACATAGGAATCAATTGTTTGAAGTTTGAATTTTACAAACTTATACAATAGAATCTTAGGCGACGATGTGCTTCAACAACCTTCATATACATAGTATGTTAGAATGGAGTTAAATTGCCACGAAGAATATCACAATGTATACTCTTAAGAATAGTTTTATGGCAACGTTGCATTTACTGTATCGATAGTGACCCTTCCCGGTACGGAAAGAGGCTGTTTTTCTTTAAAATATCTGCTAAACGTCGTATATTTAATTTTAGATGACACAAGGGTAAGCTTTCTGAGACGTCTGGTGTTACACAAGGAGGTCGTTTCAAAGACAGGTTTTATCTTACTTTCGAGTTGATTTTAGCAGCAAATATGTATTTTATATATAATATACGTGAAAAATTTACATGATTTGTCTCGTATTTCTTAGATCACGACAGTATTATTAAGGGTCATCTTTAGAGAAATCTCCTAAAATTTCTCGACTCTCGCGACATGGAACGCTCAATAAAGACGACAATGGCCAGTGGAAGGCTGTATGGAATACACAAGTAGGCCTTTTTCATATATTTATCCTATCATCTTGCATATCTTCATTACATGCAGGTTTTTAAACAGGTAAAGTCACGAGAGACCTAGCACATTATCCTACAGACAGCACTTTATCTCGTAAAAAGGTATGAAAAGGCTACCGAAACCGTTTTTGTTATTCAGTATTAACGCTGGCTCAGCAAAACTGAGGATGAAAGCAATGTCATGCTTGAAGCTACCGGTAACATATTTTTGATGTTTTATCCTATCCACAAACACAATCATATTTTACTCGGGTGAACTTTGCTTTGTTATCAATCAGTCTCGCGCAAGTTAAGGTGATTTTGAAATCTATTCTTTTACTTTTTTTGTCAAAGTTGTCTTCACTGTCAACAACCAAGAAGAACATTAATCTTGACATATGAGAGAGTTGAAGTGATCTTTCGTCTGACCGTGATTTTTAAAAATGTATAAAAATTAAAACAGATATCCTACTTCCCCGCGAGCAATTAATCACCTCTTGCCGGAAATTGTCAGCTGGTTATAAATGAGATATAAAAAAAAACAACATAGATATCTACAATTGTAATGCCCAAATATGTGCATTTTGCATCAGAACGTTAAGCAAAATGTAATATAGCCCAAAATTGGTATATTTAGTACATCGGACAAGTTTCATAGAGTACTTTTGCATCCCTTAGTAAGATTGATCTAACTTCGCAGTATTTACAATATTTCTCAAATTACGTTTGCACAAACAGTAAAACACAACTTTAAGGCAAATGTATAACGCAATGTGGACGAAGCCTTCCCGTATGTCATGTTATAATTCCCAATCGTAAATGTAAATTGACAATTTCGCTGTTTTTTTTTAAATTCAACAGAAAACCAGATAACATGTGCTCCTTATGCATTGCTTCACAATATCGCTATGGTTTTGTCGATGATAAAAAACACAGTAACGATCAGGAACTTCTGACACCGGAAGTCACGCAATTAGCAGGAAGTCCAATGGACCCAGATCCCTAAAACAGTGTCCTAATTTAGATATACGTAATTAAAGACCCGGAAAATATATTTAATTAATTCATTTGTATATGGATATGTCTGTTCATTTGTAAGATTGTGTGGCCTTGTGGGAATGTTCATTTTTTTCTGGCATGGTGATTAAAAACCGGAAGTAGAGAGCACTGCTATATAAAGTAGATACGGTAGGTACAACATATGGTCAGCATCAGGGATAAATTTGTATGGTTTTTTTTGTGTGTGTGTTACATTTCATCAAACATGACTAGTATTGTTCGTTGTTAGAATGGACGCACGGGAGAATGACATAAAGGGAAGAAACGGAGAAGAATTTTAACTTATTTATTTTGGTGCGAAATTTCAAGTAAGACCATCTGAGGTCAAAATAAGACGTATCGTTTGATTTTATAGATGGACACGGAAGATTTATTTTTCCATCTACTTTACGTCTACATTTCTTCTATCACATTAATCGTGAAATATGACTACATTATTCACAGTGGAAACAAAAACTTCTATTCAGAAATCCCGTCGACTTTGTTTTTATGAAACATTTATTTTTTATGTATATAAACACTGTGGTGGTGATTGAAACAGTAGGGCTTGTCATACCCTTATCTTTAGTCTCAACGAGAACACACACCTATGTAACAATGAAAGATCTATGTCGAATCTGATACGGGTTTACCTGGTAAATTATGATCGACGATTTGTATTCTACACCTGAGCTGTTATAAAGCCTATCTCCTTGAAAATGAGATAACCAATTTAACATAAAGAAGGTTATAAAAGACGTAAGTTTAATAATGGAATGTAGAGGGCGTGTATACCGGAAGGGGCGTGGCTCAGGGATACAGAGGGATCATCCGGGTCATTAATGATTAAATTGTTTGTCAAACGGGATGGAGGAAACTGAATTCATTAAGCACGTGTACCCTTAAAGTATGCTGAGAAATGGGGTCAACGACTGAAAGTTACTTGTGTATATACATAATATATACTTCGTCTAGGAGAGGGAGGTACTTCGTCTGGCGGGGGGGGGGGGCGTACCTCGTTTAGGAGAGGGGGATGGGATGCATTTCGTCTAGGAGGAGGGAGTACATCATCCAGGATAGGGGGAGGGAGTACCTCGTCTTGGAGAGGGGGGATGTACCCCGTCTAGGGGTGGGGGAGCGATAACAATTGCGAGAGAAGATGAGTAACAGGTATACCCCTGACAGAGAATTATGTAAGAATAAATTACATCAAAATGACGTAAATATGGACACCAGTCAGAAACATTACCTTTAGAATGAAAACATCACGAACATTTCAATTGGTTCTCAGTTCTGGTATGAAATGTTGTAATATGTTAATATTTAAGTCTTTAATAGTATTATATATACTTTTCTTTCTTTATTTCACTTTTTGGTCCGAGTAGAAAACAAATGCCATTAGGTTATCATTTGGCTGAAATACTTTTTATACCCCGGGTTACCAGCTGATATCCTTTTGTGTGGAGACTGTTGACGTCTGGAGTTGAATACTAAGGAATATAAGAGAGAGTTTAATGGGCATGTATGTCTTATCGTCCTAGATCTGATAGTCCAGTTATGGGGATGTGGCTTCCGGTTGTTGTGGAGTCTTCCTTTGATACCGAAAACACACACTTATGTTGGAGCGACTTGTGTTTTTCCACGTCAGCTGGTTTCTTCAATACGTGACTGAGGTGTTTTTCCCAAGACAGTCAATTCGTTTTATCATATGAGACTGGGATCGCAATACCTCCGTCAGCAGAGCGTTGCCCACAGTGCAAACCGCAGGTGAAGGTCCGAGGTTAAATATACCTGAGTGGGTTTCTGTATCTAAGGATCGGTGCTGTCATGGTTGAGCCCTTGGAAAGACACTGTACCAGATCTACTTTAAGTGACATGCGACGGGCCTTCCGTATGTTGTTCAGGGAGGCAGCCACTAGCTACTACAAGGAGACCCCTCGTCAAAATGATTTCCATTCACGGGAATATCACCTTAGCCAACAAATTATTGAGACTATCCGCAGTTTTAGAACTGACGAAACAATCCCTGTTGTTATCAAGATAATATCGTTTATTGCCCCCTTTTCGATTTTATTTATTTAAAAATGATAAAAGGCCTTCCAGGTTTTCTCCGCTAGGTGGCGCTCGTTCTGTTCTAAAAACGAAACCTAGAGTAGGACAACTACAACAGGTATTTCAGGCTATAGACTACAGGTGTCGCTACTTACTGAACATGCATCCGGTCGTTCCCGCTCTTTCCTGCCAGCCGTGACAACACTTGTATTTGGTGGTATAACTTGGTTGAAATCTTTCCCGATACGTGTTGTAGTAATAAGTCCTGAAAAATAAACAAAAGACTTCATTTATATTTCAGATCGTTATAAAGTGTAATGGTCCTCCCCATTCAAAGAAAACGCTTACCAAACAAGTTGAGGAAAGGACACAATGTCAAGACCAACTTAATTAATTTTGTATGTCAACTGCCATTAAGTACAAATTCATATAGATCTGATATTTTGTTTCTTTCTTCTAGGGCGCATACCCCCAACATGATAAAAAATTACTGATAACGTTGAAGTAGCAACATTCCCCATGAAAGTATAGTGTCCACAAGCAAATGTGGGCACTAATTGCAAAGGACAGACGGCACTGGGCTCTAAACTCCCACGAATTTATCGTGATTCCACAAATTAACTCGTGATATTTCAATGAGATATAACTTATATATAACGTTTACATACATCTGAGCTGAGACCTATCACGACCATGTGACTGAATACATGTTGTGTTACACTCTACCAATTGCCATACCCTACTGGGCAATCGCCTTCCTTATCTTACATGTCATTGAAACGAAGTAGCATTGAAATTAAGATTGAATTAAACCACGACATAATGACTGCTGTAGATGGTATTTAGCGACGTGTTGGGGGTAAAATGATCCAATTGTCACTAGTGTTGAGCCATATTCTTCGTGACATTAAAACCATATCGAATTAGTATTATGATTTATAAATTAATTTAGTCCAATTTCACACAACGATATGTTTGAAACATTGCCGTGGAGTGCTCCCGACAAGCGTCCTTCATATTGACGTTGCGACCGTTACTGTTGGCGGGGCGCGGCAGTGCGGTGCTCAGAATCAAATTATCGCGATTTAATTCATTAGAGTGCATATTTTATTACACACTGGTGCAAAATGTAACGATTTGATAATGTAATCTTTGTATAATATGCAGCTACGGAATGTCTTTAAAGTCATACGGACCACCAGGAGATTTCCTTAGAACAGTCGCGTGATGAATATGATTTCATGTTTAAGTAATATATATATTTATAGAAACGTATGTATTTATATATTGGAAAGGTAGTGTATGTATAAAGGTATCTATGTATGATCTATGAAGTAATAGCAACAGATTTTCGAGGCAGCTTGCCTCTTTATCAAGACACAAATATATCATGAATTACATCACATACATAGAACATAAAACAAATACAAAGTTATAAATCTGCATCCACAGAGGTGGTGTAAATTTAGGTGTCGCGATAATCCCTGCGGCCGATGGACGCCGAAGGCCCTTTATAGCGGACAAAAAACCATACTAAGTTGGTAAAGATATCTATATTTATATATCATACCTGTCACTAAAGAAATAAAGGCGCATTTTGTAGGTTAGATAAACATCAGGTTTAAAAACTAAGTCTAATTTTATTTTAATCTCAGGACTTCAACATATCAGGATCGTGATTTTAATCTTATTACTTCGACATATCGGGGTCATCCTTTTAATCTCGTGACTTCGACATATTGGGACTGTACTTTAATCTCATTATTTCGACATCTTGGGACTCTACATTAATTCAATGACTTCGACAAAGTGGGACTGTATATTTATCAAAATATTTCGACATACTGGCGATAGTTATGAGTTTGGGCTTAATCAACCGCTTCGAAATATCGGTGTTCGTTTTCGTAGTGAAAGCTGCGACATTTCGAATACGCAAGACTTCACTTGTGTCCTTCATCATACCTTGATAATCTTAGTACGGAAAAGTCCTTTAACGTGCAGGTTGGACAGAGATACAACATAATTAACACTGCTAACGAACGAGGTTGACATTTTGTGAGTTAGGTTTCACTGATGAGCCGTGAAGTCCGGTTTGAATTCAAATGCACGCGCATGTCTCGTGACCCAAATGTTTTTTAATTGGTAACAAGTATGTCCTCAATTTTGATTCTGTGCTGGTACCTTAGATACAATCACGCATGACATGTGCATCTATTGAATTGTTAGATCACAAACACTCGTATACGTGTTCACGTGAGACGATTTAAAGTCACGTGTCATTAACCATGGTTATTCTCATATCTGATCGGAGAAACTGAGTAAACATGTAAACACACGTAGGAGGAGCGGGAAGATGTGACACGAAAGGGAAGAGACGCCCGGTCGACCATACAGATCTATGAAGAACATGGTTGCTAAGGTTGGGAGGGATGGGCGGTGGGGAGGGGGGTAACAAAATCAGGAGGGTGAGGGAGGATACGAGACACGAAAGAAATTAAGACGACGAAATGAATAACGAAAGAAAGGTGCGGAAATGACACAGGAAGGGTAGTGGGAATACGATCACATATCTAACTCTACAGAGAACGAGGGGGATATGAGACACGATGTGAAATGTAAATGCAAAATAAGCAAACGACAGGAGTGTGAATTCGGGAAACGAAGCATACTCAGAGTGTAAACGAGTACATGTGACACGAAAAGGGGGTTAGTATCAGACACCGAAAAGTTAGTGACAACACGAGACACGAAAGGGGGATACTATCAGACACTGAAGACTCAGTGACAACACGAGACACGAAAGGGGGATACTATCATACACTGAAGAGTTAGTGACAACACGAGACACGAAAGGGGGATACTATCAGACACTGAAGACTCAGTGACAACACGAGACACGAAAGGGGGATACTATCATACACTGAAGAGTTAGTGACAACACGAGGCACGAAAGAGGGATACTATCAGACACCGAAAAGTTAGTGACAACACGAGACACGAAGGAAGGCTGAGGGCTTTGTACGAAAGAGGACACTGGTATTTTGGGAGGAAAGTTCATCGGATACCAAGTCAGTGAACAAATGAGGTATCAATGAAGGAAGATGGGTATACGTGACGTTCGGAGGTTGAGAAGATAAGTAACTTGGATGGGAAAGGATGAGGTCATAAGGTATGAGAGAACTAATTGTACAATACTGTTTCCACTCTAACAACTATCGTTTAAATAGAATTAAAACTTCTAAATCATAAAAAACACGGGATAATCATATATGTATTAATATCCATATCCGACAAGCACGAAGGAGTAATCTTTCAAACGACTGACCAAAAGTAGCTCGAACCTTACACAACAATTCTATAAAACACCATATCATGGGAAAACACAGGTATAGCGCACGCGAATTTACAAATAATCTGCCTCGTTAGAGCTTCAGAAGAAAAGGCAACAAGTGTCACTTTAAGAGAGACAGGTGCTTGTAATGACTCGGGTTATTCTACACAAAGGACTAATTACTCTTCATAGTAATACCGATCATGACGTCCGGTGAATGTGCGTGACACAAACCAGTTATTTTCCGCCATGTTGAATCTACACGAGAAGCAAAATTAAGCGTAAAAAACTTTAAAGTACAATGACAATATTCCTCGTGTTTACATTTTTTAATATGAGATTTATTTTGAAATTTTAAAGTACATGTCATTTTTATTTATTTTTTTAAATCATGGGAAAGACCATTATGTGTTGCATAATGAGTTCATTGAGACTCTTTTGACATAAAAAGGCGACATGTTCCAAGGTTAATTACTGGTTGCCGATGTTAATAACTATTCGGCATCAATCCGACAAAATTGTCCAGTCACTGGAGTATTTGTCCAAAATTATTTTCGCATTTTCGGTGTACTCAGCGTCAAATTGCCGTGATTACTAATTCTGAGTGACTCGGTTCAGCGTGAGGACTTGTATGGGAAACGAAAATTAATGCATGTTTATAACTCCATTGTTGATATATTTGATCGAACCTGAAATATTAAAAGACGTGAAAATATTTCTTTCACAAATAATAACTTTCATACAGTATACTAGCAGTGTTAAATAACGACAGGCGCAAGTTGGTTGGTGACTACAGATGTACAATATTATAGGTGTATGAAACTGCCGTGCGGTCAAGGCCACCGGAGGCCAGTGAAACAATTATCTGTGTCTATATTTCGTTGTAAACAATCCGCCCGAGGTATGCGGTAAGTAAATTAACGGCAAATAAAAACAACAATATTTTGAATTGCCAGTCCCAAAATAAACAGGTTTCTATGCTACGTGCCCGTGTGTCGAATTGCATATGAAACTGTTGTTAAGTTCACAAACACGAAACGAGACCTTCAACAGTAAGCTGTTAACGCCGATCTCCGCGCGTGCTCACACCGTAATAAGGATGTATACCAGTTCATCACCCCTCATCGATCCAGTGCGCTACGTTGATGATAAATTTTAATTTATATCTTCATAGATGTCTGTCTACATAGCCGAAACAGACGATAATAGAATAATAGAAAATGACTATATACAATGTAGCACTGTAGCACTGGCAATAACAACAACAAACAAACAAACAATAAAACCAGCATATCTATATTATGTAAGATATGTCAGTATTCCACGTACGAAAACCTCTCTCAAACAGCCTAAATACACATGTTCTTTTCAACTTGAATTTTTTGCAGTGCAAACAGCACGTTTGCCAATCTGGTGTCGTTTGGTTCAAGTCTGTAAACAACGCGTCCTAAAACGCGGTCTTTGCGTTATTAATATCACATGACGTCAACTTCCACAACTCTTCTGTTTTAAATTGACTGACTTTAAATTTCAGTGTGTGCCCGGTGATGTTTTCTTCTTAGCAATGTAATTACCCAGGCATCATACACTGTATAACCGGATGCTTGCTTATGGGATACAAAACAATCTCATCCCAAGGGTTGAGATATCTTAAAGTACACGTATACTCAACATGGATTGCTGAATCTTTTTCTCCTTTAATCAATATGTTTTGCCATACGAATTTCTCACGTCAATTATGGTAGTGACGTCATTGTATAGTTTTCCCTACACGTTAACTACCCCACTTTTTGAAGTAACAACTGAGAAAATGACCGAGCAAGAAGCATTTTAGTCAATTGCCGGGGAAAAAAAATGGTGATGTCGTCATCGTCGGTCTTTAAGCTTTGATTCTCAGATCCGGTGTATTCGTTGAACAATATGTGACAAGTGAT